CTGAGTGATAAACAGTATCTGCTCCTTGTTACATTGATTAAATTTAGATTTTCAACATTAGTAGAGTTATTTTGGAGATTTTCAGTTTGAGGTCTTCTGCATGATTTATCGAATTTTCTCATATTTGTTTGTTTTTCCTTTTGTTATGATTTTGATGTTACAGAAACGACAAAGTGGCGCCGTTACGATCGAAGTTTGCGCAGCTTTTCGCCGTTGTGAATATCCTTCGAGATGAATCTAGAGATAAAGAACAGTCTTCACGAACGTTACGAGGGAACCGCGGAGGAGGTGCATCTTCGTCAGTGAGCAAAGGCAATCGTCATAAGGATGAAGATAAAGATGTTAGTTATCCTCATTCTGGACCCTGTCTTCATTTAGTTTTCCTTTGGGTAGTGATTTTAAAGGAGAGCATAATTATTTAGAGAACCTTTCAATCTCCTCTTTTATCTCTCTTTTTGAATTTTTATTTAATTGAAATTCATCTCTATTAATAGCATTGAAAACTCCGAGGGAATTTTTTGCTGCCGTGGTTTTGAGTGGCTTTGTCGAGAGCTCCTTTGGATAGAGATGATTGATTGTTCGCCATAGTAAAACGAGAAGGTTCATCAATCTGCTGCTTTCGATGTCTTGCAAGACATGCTTTTGTGATCTTATTTTCGTGATGACATAATGAATTACGATAGAAATACTATTTGTGCAGCTTTTAAGTACGCAACAAATCAGAATTGAAAAACTTCAGAGCTCGCCAATATGTAATAGTTTTGACCGTTTGAAAGTTCATTATCTCCCGTTGGAACAAAACTTATTATGAGATAGGAGAAGTTGGAGCAGAGTTTTAGGTTTCTGTACAAAAATTGAGCCGTAATCCATTTTTAGTGCAAAAACTTTTTTTTGTGTATATGTTCATGGATAGAGCTTGAGTGAACATGCCTTCTCATTCCTTCTGTTAGCAATCTCCTGCTACAAAATAATGTTTTATAACTGTTTCAGGAGGATCATTTGCCAAAGAAGAAACCACGTCGTGTGATCACAATCGGCTCGTCGTCGTCATCTTCATCGGAAGATAGTGAATGACAGCAGAGTCCGCTGCGTCCACGATCGCTCGACTACGCGTTTAGGCAGATGGTCGATGTTGAATTGGCAGGCCCTAGTTGCCACACGGCTGCCACCTCCTGGCCCAATCACACGCAGAACTCGCACTCGCTCACTCGCCCATACTGCGTTGAACTCCCGTCACAGCCTCCTCGCTTTTCTCGATCGCATTGCTTGCTCTCCCTCTTCTCATCTCTCTTACCTCGATCTCGGCTGCATTGCTTTGCCTTACTCGTACATGCTGAAGCGACTCGAGTACCAAAAACGGATAGCTTTTTATGGAGGCGCTCCTGCATGATTTTCTCTCAAGAACATGAAGTCTGGAGAGTGGCTTTCCGTTCATTTTCGGTCAAATTGGAAATTGAATCTCAGATTATACGAAATTCAACAATGCTAAGAAAGTCTGTAAGAAAGCAGCACAGCGCGTTATAAATATTCCAAAGCCATGCAGTATTTTTTCTCCCTCATTTCACCCTTGGACCCTTGGACTTTTTTGAGACAAAGACAGACACCTAACACAGACAAAAGAGTGAGGAGATTTTGTATTCCTGAAATAATAAATGAACTTATGGTTTCTTTAAGGATG